TAATTGGTCTTTTTAATACTGGTACTTCTCCTCTTGTCTGTCTATCTTTCTGTCGGTCTGTCTGTCTGTCTTTCTTTCTGTCCATTTACCTATCTTTATTTCCTCTATTTCTTTGTTTTCTTGTTTCTCTTTTCTGACTCTCCTCCCTTTCTAATATAACATTACAATAAAATAAAATACCACTTACAAAAAGAGCAATATTAATTAGTATGAAAGTATGTGTGAAAGTGGAATTCATTATGTATATTACTGTAATGTGAAAAATACTTTGAAAATAAAGAAAAAAAAAAGAAAAAAAAGGCAAATATGAGAGGGTACGGTACCTTTTTAACACCCACACTTAAATTTTTAAAATGTGTGTCAATAATGAAAATATATATGAAGTCGTTTGGACTGAGTACAAATTATATGTATTAGTTGGCCAATCGAGCCAGCCATTATGATGTGAGACGTTGACTGGGTGATTCTACGGACACGTGTTGTTAACAGGTATCTGCCTTGGAACAGGATTCTGGTGAATGATAATGATGGACGTGAAAACAAGTGTATTTTTAGTTTTAATTGCAACATGTGATATTTAACTAGACATAGAGTAAAATACAACATGATTTTTATGTATTGTGAATCGAATTTAACATGTAGTTCTGTGTTGAAAGAGGAATAAATTTACATTGTGTTACTTGTTAAAAGGAATAAGCTTTTCTTCTGTTTATTTATCGTATCTTAACAGTGAACTATGAAAATTATATTAGTGTTTGAAAAAACGTCTGTAAGGAGCATATCCCGAAAATAGAACCGCAATCTATGACTATAGTATATATCATACAAATTGTCGCTGTGTATTAATTCTCGCGCATAAAATAGAACCACGAGCAATGATTTTGTTAACAACTAAAATACATCCAGTTTACACGTACTCATTGGCCGCGAAATTGTTTATCGACAAAATGGTTTCAAAGGGCAAAACTGCGGTTGAATGTACCCACGAATGTGTAAATATATCATGTTATACGCAAAGGAGTTTCATTATTACAACATTTTCTTCAAACTATTCTTACCAGATATTATTTAAAAATCAAAATATTCGATATTACATTGTCATCACAGCATCTTAACTCAAAGAAGAAAAGGTAACAGGAACGCAACGCAGTAACGGAAGAAACATCAAACAAAACAAACACCTTAAACCTCCAACAAAACAAAATAGAGATGAAAGCCGGTGTTCCCGAAAGGCAAGCGTGTCTTATATCACATGTGGCAACAGTCAACAGTTGTAAACATGGTTCATTTATAAACATCGAAGACACGAAAATACCCTAAGTTAGCATTAAAAACATGATGGACACGAAATTACCCAAACGTAAACATTTATGAGCATAACAGGAATGAAATTCTTTAAGCATGAACATGTGTAAACAAGTAAACACGAGGTTCTACCACCGTACCATTTGTAAACATAGTAGAAATGTAATTCTTAGAATAGTACCCCATTTCGAGTTCTTACCACCGGAAGTATATGTCCTCGGTCATCCCTTACGGTATAATTGTTTTTTTTTTTTTAATACGAGGCTGAATTTATTAAAGAGCTTGTTAGGATTGGAAACGATTTACATTACCAAGTCCTTCAATTTCACTTTCAGATGTACCGAAGATTTGGTGTCTTTAGATAACAAGAAATATATTGACAACGTCGACCGTGTCTTACCTCCTCAATTTAAAACCAAAATCATTACATATTCTTCTACATCAGTCGCCTTTCCTTGATCTTTACTTACAACAGGACTAACCAGGAACTGTTTACTTCTAAGCTGAACGATAAACGTAATTATTTCGATTGTTCAATCATGAACATTCTATTTCCTGGTAGTAGCATCCCTGCTCCCACATCCTACGGTGTTAACAGTGTGCTCTGCTGTTGTCGCTACCCAAGTTCTTGCCATGAGGAAGTAACATTATCTTAATTTGATCTATTTTACAAGGTGGGTGTCGTCTATGAAGCAGAAGACGCTTACACTTCAGGGTCTCCGGTGTTATTTTCCTTTGTTCATTGATCTTCATTTAAATCTTTGGATTGTTACGTGCTTTCTCGATAGGTGAATTCAAATAACGGGTTTGTTGACACTTTGGTATCGTTTGTTTGTTTATGTTGAAATTTAGTTTCCAGTAGCGGTATGGTACTTCTCGAATACTTTTTGTGTATGGGTATTGTTCGTCATTGACGATTAATAAGAGATAGAACCAGTCAGAAAAGTTTTCTCGGAACAGAATTCATTTTTTCAGACAACAATAGTCTAAGAATAAAATATACCTTCTTCCCTAAGAAAAAAAGATCACATGCTCTATTTTTTGTGATGTAACAAGCAATTTCATTGGTTGAATAAATCATTAAATAACCGTAAAAACTTAATATTCTCTGCGAACCAGTTCACTAAATGTACGTGTTCCTTTGTTCACAAACAAGCATATCAACAACATCTTTACGGTGTTCTGCACTTTGACATAGCTCAGCAACGACGACATAGCTTTACAAGATTAATTGTGTACCGGTATGGGACGTTCCAGCACCACCTAATAGTAATGATTGTACTGAGCTTGCCCCATCAACACCCAGTATCCCTAAAAAAAATATATTTTCCTCACATGGCCAAGGCTGGCCTTGATGTAACAACACTGTGTTGTTACGGCGACGGTTAAAGGGGAGTAACTACAACAAAATGACTCGGAATTGTAAAAGATGTGCCAAAAGAAAAATTTAAATTGCATAAGGAGTTTAAATGTCCACGGACTCATTGTTAAGAAGTTGCAGTGGTAGACGAAAATTTGGACCTGTCCCTAATGCCCGGACTAAGGAAAGGCTTATGGCAAAATACACAATTTCTACTATTTTCCAATGTTGATTATAATTATATTCACACCGTTTCAATTAAGCTTCACTATTGTTTGTTTGGCATCATAAGTTGTGCACAAAATCTTTCCAACCACGTTGCGCATCCAAGATGGTAGTTGCAACCTGTGATTGGTTGCAGTTTTGGTATAGCCCGATTTCGATCTTTCGTATGTAGGTTTAATATGACTTCTATTACTTCCGATTTCTTACTGGACGGGATCGGCGTCATAGCGGGGCTTTTGAATGGTCGAAATTTACAAGATTTCCAGTGTTGATCAATCTGATATGTAGGTGTATCATAACATGACGAACACTACTCCATTTTTTCCGATTTCGAATTATTTACGAGATATGGGTAGTTTGCGGGACTCTGTAAGTTAAAAACGTTATTGTTGTCACCTCATTCTTATAAAAAAAACTATTAAAGCCAAGAAGCTTTAAGGGATTTCTTGTTTTCACTATGTTTCTATTTTTTTTTTAAGTTTTCCAAAACAATGCTTTGGGACTACTTGTTTTTACTACAATTCGTCTTGTTATTGTTGCGGTTCCGCCTTCCGCCGCTAATTTGGTTGTGACCTCTAATTGACTATGACGTATGGGGCTATAACTTCAGTTCAGCCGACTAATTTTACTTTGCTCTTTAGTTCCGTATTTAGATATAAAAGGGTGAAAGAGATGCTTTCATGGTTTTCTCAAAGTGTGAAAAATAAAAGTGACATTTTCAGATAAATGGTTGTAATGTACTTGCCCCTGATGTGTTAAAAGATAAAAGTTAAAGAACGCTACCAAAATATAATGCATATTCATGTAGGAAGATCTGATTCAGTACTGCTTTATTTTTTTTCGTTCGGATATTGAACAAGGAGCGTCGAAGTCACATATTGATCAAAATATAGAAACTGTTCTATTTCATTGAAATTTGCTACGCAACTATTGAATACAATGAACTTTAACGCGACGTTTTTAGATAGTGTTCGGGTTCAATTATATCAGTTTATAGATATTCAGTCTGGTTGACAGTGGGGTTGGTTTTGGGGATTACGAAATGGTCACATTTACAATTATTACTTGTTTTTGTTACTATTATTCCGCTATTTTTCTGCCGCTTTTATGTCCGACTTTTTTTCTCGAAATCCGTTTAAATTTCACATGAGTATCAGTGGATATGTGTACATGTGCAAGAGATATTTTACTTTAAGAAGTTTGTTAGATCGGAAATTAACCATGGCCGACGTGGCCCTTGTTTGAATGAGATATATATCAACCTTTCACTTCCGTTATACTAATAGATTGTAAGGAAACTTTATGATAGTAAAGATTATGTAATTTTCTATGTACATGTACGAAGAAGCATCGGTAGTTGTGCCCTCAATATTTTTCAACGCTGTGTATCCCTAGGGACTGCCAAGGACTTTGATTGGTCAAAATAAAGGATTGCCTTATTTCAATCAAATTTGGTATATAGATGTATTATGGAACAGCGAGCAAAACCATGAATTTGGTTTTCTTTTGAACAAAATGCATGCAAAATGTGGCTTGCTTCGCGCTTCTGATTGGTCGAAATACATATTTGTCAAATTGTTATTCTTGTCTGCTATCTTGGTGTATAATGGCACTATGAACTATCACATTTTCCGATTTCGTATCATTTATCTACAGGGGAAGGTTGCGGGACTTGTTATTGTAGGTTTGTGATTAATTTCCATTACAAACAAATGTGTCATTTTCAAGATTAAGACCATGAAAGTTTATGATATTTACATGTTCATTAAACGAAAAATGAGCAATAATTGGTAATGAATTGACATTTATTAAAACACTGATTATTACGTTGCGTTACAAAGTGGTTCCGAATGAATAAAATAATACTTCAACGTGTTACAAATTGTTTATTTCGACGGAAACGATAACAAGTATACCTGAAACATCCTGGAAAATTAGAATAAGAAAGAAAAGTAAGGAAATTATTTTCAGCAGCATTAAATTGTGATGTGAACATCATATCTATTGAAACATTACTCTTTTCAATAAAACATATTGTACTAAATGTACATGCAAAGGCCTGGTGAGTGAGTTTTTTTCTTTTTAACGTCAATTATGAAAAAAAAATCACCTAGTAGCTGGATAGTAAGAATATATGTACTATAGCGTTCATTTAAAAAAGAATCTTGGAACGTATAGATGTATAATTAATTAAATGTATTGCTGCAATTAAGCTTAAAAAAGCTTTTCACGAGAATATTTCAAATTTCTGAACCCATATCAAACCACCTTCTACTACGCTTGATTTAATATTAGAAATATATATATTTGAGATCTTATGCATTCAAAAGTATAAACAGAAAATTGTTCACAATGAAATGTAGACCGTACAACTACATATTTTTCAAAACACAACCATATCGTTAACCACATATACAATTTTGCATTTTACTAATCTTATATTTTAACATCAACAAACATACTTTATCATATTCAATTTTTATATTAAATCATATTCAACCTCACAGTTTATCATTTGCAACGATATATTTTACTATATACAATATTTTTACATCATCATAGCAAGAACTGGGACAGTGACAACAACAGAGCACACCGTATACACCGTATGATGGGGAAGCAGGGATGTTAACATCAGGAAATGGAAAGTTCATGGCTGGAGACAATAACCGAATATTAAAAAGAAAAATAGATGAAAAGAAAAACAGAACCATTTGGGTAAACATTATTTTCATAAAATGTGGAGAATAGAAGTAGACTGACGGTATGGAAAGCTTACCTTCAGGACTGACATGAGTCAGGCAGATTGAACACGTCATCGGATACACCTTCCGAGAAGCTAGTGTATGTCAAAATAGTTTGCGCGCGAACTACAGCAATAAAATATGTATTATTAATCATTTATTGTTTTTAATTTAGTCATGGAAAGTTATACATTGTTAGCAATCGTTACAAATCCCTGTTAGGATTCCATCAACTCAGAAAATATGTTTTTGCCTAATACGGATAAGATCAGACTAACTTAAAAATAAGGATGTGTACAAATGGAAGTGATATCAATTTACTTATTATATACTCACTGCTATGCTAATCGCTGCTGGTTTTAAAGCATCTATTTTTAATATGCATTTATTTCAATGAAATTGAAATATCGCATCTAAAATAACATCATATCTTAGATGTAAACCTTACGAAGATCTGTTCTTAAAACTTGCTGTTTAATTGTTATATTGCCAAAGGTCATCCACCTGGAACTTGATACCACTTCCATAACGAAAGGAAACGTATTCCAGTTGTTCACCACTATAAAGAATTCCATAGTAGCAACGAAATTGAATGTGTATAGTCCATACTAAGTATAGTAGATAGCAGAGCGTGTTCTCCAGCACAAATTATCATTTTCATTTAAAATGTTTTTATTATGCTTGAATTTTCAAATCCTGTTTCTAAGCTATACAAAGTCACAATTTAAGTGAACAATAACTATAATACATGTACACGCATGTTGCCTAATTCCTTTTGAATTTGTATAAGATGCAATATTCATCAAAAACATGGAAGTGTACATTTTTATTAAATCTTGATTCCTTGTTGGTTAAGGACATCAAATCCTGGTGTTTTGGAGGTTTTAAATACTTTTTCTTCTAGGCTACAAATGTTACTTCCTCAAATTAGTGTGTTATATCTGGGATTTCGAATACTGGTAATAGTGAACAAGAAATACCTTAAGTAAATTATGCCCCCTTTTCTGTCAACTTCAGTAACGTTGGTTTTCATGGAAGATTACCTGATACAATCTGCGAATTCTTTAAGTTACGACGGTATACGCAAAGAGAGCGTATTTCAATTTTTGGTAACTCCGGATTTTGGAAAAATAGTCTGACATGATAATTCAGTCAGTGTGTGCTTACAGCTACGTCAGGTTCAACTCGCGAGTGTTCATATCCAATTGAATGGACTTAAGTACACGTTTTGTCTGTACTTCAGAAATGTGAACGTAATCTTCCACAAAATCACCAACATATTTCATCATTTTAACGCGTTTCGAAGATAAGATAATGGCAAAGGTTTATATTCAAATATGTCTTTTATTTTTCGATTGATAGAGACATTTTTTTTTATAAATTCAGTCTGTGAATGTGCTAGGTCACTTTTGTAACGTTGCTTCTGCTACTGAGATGCATAATATTCATGTGCTGTTTTTGCAACATTTTCATGGCAATTGATAACATTTAGCATAAAGTCCTACAGTTGAAACTTTGCCGGTATGTTATTGAGGGTAACTTACTTTCCTTATTCTTCAGTTATTTAAATAATCGTCAGCCATGAAAATATTCTATTGTTACTTATTTCATGTTAGTGATCATTATGGCTCTATGGAAACTGTTAGTTTGTTCAAGAGTTTTACTGTGGACTCTGAATGTAAACCATAATATTCACAAACGTCAGGATTGGTCTGATTAGTGGCTGAGGCAGGTCAATGCCGCACAGACTCTTATTGTCAACCTCTTCACTTTCTCTTTGCTAGTTTTCGTATCTATTGACCATGAATACCTGTTTTTAAACATGTTGTTATCACATGTTATTTGTAGCTATAATGTAATGTTTTGTCGGAAGAGGGCCTGGTAAGTTGTGAGAGCTTGCGTCAAATCTAATCTTTTTGTTATATTTCAATGAATGCTCCTGTTTGGCTGACGTAATCCGTATTTGACGTAAAACACATTTTAAACGAACGGAATCAAAATAGTGGGTTATTTTAAATTTTTAACGATCGTAATTTAATACCATAATACACTAAATAAAAGATATATAGAGCCAAGATGGTAGAATTCCGTTGAGACTTTATTTCATATTTTTATTTTATTCCTTGCAATAATAGCTATTTTCACAAAGGTTCTTGTTCATATCAATATTCGTTTCCATTCCGTCTGAGATTAGTTCGTCCCGATTGTTATTTTTATTTTAGTACGTTAGAAGCATTCATAGAAAAAAGAAGCTTATGTTAGATCCTATATAGATATATAATTGTACCTTTGTCTGCCTTGGAAACTTACCTGCAGACGCTAAGTCGGTGTATATCTGAATCAGAGGTGTGCAGTCCTCTGAGACGTACAAAGACATAGATATGTTTGTAGCCGTTGACGTCCTCGACCATTTGTCACTGATGATGTTGTTACCTTTGGAGCCTAGGACGTGTCTGCCCTCGTAATGGTAGCCTTCTGTAACAAAGAACGAGCGAGATGAATGGGTGGGTAGCAGCGCGCGTGCATTTGTGTGTGTTTGGTGGTATCTTCGTTTGTTTGTTTGTGTGTGTGTGCGTACACATGTATTTATTTGAGTGTGTTTATGTGGGTATGTAGATCAAGGGTGTTGGCTTAAAATGAGTTCTTACCTCGAAAACATAGAGAAGGAACAGGAGCGGCCAAGCTGGTTGGTGTGCATTGACCATCCTTTATAAAATGCAGCATATGCTGGAAATAAAACAATAAACATAGTCATTAGAAACAAAACACATATGATTAATCCCGTTTATGAAAAAGAAAACCAAAATGCTAAGTGTAGATTAAAGCTGTGAAATAAATATATTATACTCGTCCTAATGACTTATGATACTGTACTTCCACAGTAAGGTCACATAAAAGGTGGAAACTGGGTGAGTAGAAGGTAAGCTGAGGAAGTAAACAGAGAAGAGAAAGACAAATATCAATATTTCCTTTGAGTTGATCAGACGAATGTCGCTTTGACAATTGGTATGTGGCATACAAAGTTTTCTCTCAGGAGACCAAGTATTACATTTAGTCATTGGGTAATATTGATGTTCCCTAAACCAGGACACAAAAGAAGTCAATGAAATTTCACGTTAATGGTGGTTCTAATTATTTTAACATGCAGAGTGAATTGCTAGAAGCTTTACCTTGGTATAGTTGAAATACATCGTCTGTATATCAGGCAATCCACCTGTTGTACCATTTCGGTCCATCCGCACCAATGATTTGTCAAAGTTCGCGTACATGTGTGTGACGTACTGTATAATGAGGAAACCAGGTTTACTTCCATCCATTTGATTTGTGTTATTTGTCAAAGCGACATAGATTTGTTTGTGGGTAAAACTGGACACGAAAATCTTGTCGTGAGGATTTAGTTATACAGATCATTGATAAAGTAAATGTATTGAACATAGTTGTGTATTTATCTTGTGGTATATTTTATCACTATGCTGATGCTTAGTATATTTTATCACTATGCTGATGCTGTGGTATATTTTATCATTGTACGCTGATGCTGTGATACATTTTATCACTGTATGCTAATGCTGTGGTATATGTTATCACTATGCTGATGCTGTGGTATATTTTATAACTTCACGTCGATGCTGTGGTATATTTTATCATTGTAGGCTAACGCTGTGGTATATTTTGTTACTGTATGTTGACGCTGTGGTTTATTTTGTCAATCTATGCTGACGATGTGGTATATTTTGTCACTGTATATTGACGCTGTGGTGTATTTCATCAATATGCTGACGCAGTAGTGTATTTTGTTACTGTATGCTGATGGTGTGGTTTATTGTTTTACTGTATGCTGACGCTGTGGTTAATTTTGTCAATCTATGCTGACGATGTGGTATATTTTGTCACTGTATATTGACGCTGTGGTGTATTTCATCAATATGCTGACGCAGTAGTGTATTTTGTTACTGTATGCTGACGGTGTGGTTTATTGTTTTACTGTATGCTGACGCTGTGGTTAATTTTGTCATTGTATGCTGACGCTGTGGTATATTTTGTTTATGTATACTAACGCTGTGGTTTATTTTTCACTGTATGCTGACGCTGTGGTATATTTTGTGACTGTATGCTGACGGTGTTATATATTGTTTTACTGTATGTTGACGGTGTGGTTTATTTCATCAATATACTGACGCTGTAGTATATTTCGTTGCTGTATGCTGACGATGTGGAATTTTTTGTAACAGTTGGTGACGCTGTGGTATATGTTGTCGCTGTATACTAACGCTTTGGTATATTTTGTTAATGTATGCTGATGTTGTGGTGTATTTTGTCAATGTATTCTGACGCTTCAATATATTTAGTTACTGTATGCTGACTTTGTAGTATACTTTGCCATTGCTGTGTTGTGTTATGTCGCTTTGATGAATAGTTTTCATTTCCACTAAGGATTTTTTATAACCAGGACCATTGATGTATTACATGAATAAATATTATACTGAGTTGATACTGGCTGAGTCGCGTTGGCTGCTGTTTCGCATTGGTTGTTTTTGTGGTTTCTACTAAATGAAACCGAGTGCTAGACGTAATTAATTACTATTGTCACTAAATATATCATAATACTTGTTTCTATATACTTATATTTAGAACGTATCGATCTGTAAGGAGGAAATAGTCAAATTCAATACAGAATTGTTCATTTTCATATTTTATTCAATTGGTCAAAAGTAACGATTTTCTGTTCAGTGACAGATGAAGTGATGATAGAGCCGGTTGTTGTTTGTGTATCATTGATACATATACTAAGATTGTTTTTACCTAACTGCTCAATTAATAACGTTTTTGTTGAAAATGTTTATCATATGATAGAAATATAGCTATTGCTAAAAAGCACCCAGCCTTGATGTCGAATGTGACGTCATTTAAATATTGCATTAATGAGATCACGCTTTTAATTCCCACACATTTTTTGACGCGTTAACGTATTCCTTCGTTTCGAAATGAAATGAATGAAACACAAAAATGCTATGGTATTCGACATAATTTCACTTGAATGGCAGAATGTACCAATATTTTTTTCACTGTGCTTTGGACTCATGAAAAATAGGTTTTCGTAAAGTATCAATGGTGTTCAACGTAAAACCACTGAATATTGACTAACAAATAACGGATAACTTTCTAACTTGACGCTTGTCTGATAGCTAGCTGAAGTCTACTATTAACTTTGTATGCATACTGTTTTTCAACCAATGTCGTTATATGCTTTCAATTTTCAATTTTAATATCCAAACTTAAACGGAAAGCTTGTTTTACTTACATCGATTCCCGATGCCGGGGCATTTGGCATTTTCAGTCCTCCATTTTCCATTACCACAGCTGTGAACTTGTGGGGGAAGCAGCATTTTGCCGTTATAGGTTCGGCTACAGCCAAGGGGGCAAAGCACAGCAACAGTAGCGCAAGCATGATGGTCGAATCACCTGTAATTATGAATGTGTTCGTCAGTATCGGGGTCTTTAAATGACACTTATACCGGTAACCGTGTGTCGAATTCACATCGATAAGAATGTTTGTTTCAAAAGTAGAATAGTAAGGTGACGCATTTCACAATCTGAGACAGATCTTGAGAAATATCAAGTTTGAACTTTGTACTTATGGTATGTTCAATTATAACATCAATGTTGTACCCACATCGGACCACTTTCTGGATAAATATCAATGTTCTTTATACCATACTATCAATCGGAAAATGTTTGTTCATTTTGTCATAAATAAATACTATCCTCTTTTCTTTTAAATTGCAAGTTGTTATTTCAGGCGCGTGGTTCTATAAAATTAATAGAACGCGAAATACTACCAAGGTCACGTAGTCCCCTGAACCGGCGTAACTGTATCCTGAAAGGGACACTTCGGTATTTTGGCTAATATTTGGGAACAGAAATCAATATCAGCAGAAAAGTATACATAGTTCAAATAGTTTAGAGTCAAAGTGGGGCTCTGGTTAAATTTCTTCCCCAAACTAGCAATAGTTTTGGTAAAATAGACTTTTGAAAATGATATCCAAATAAATAGCGTCGCACGGCACGTAAAGCAGGAAAGTTTTGCTTTGGTTAGTATTCTAACCTTTAAATTGTCTATGTAACGATCATCATCAGCTATAAAAGCTTACATACAGTTAAGCTGTCATAAAAGTATCATCAAATGAGAACTGCATACATAAAAGTACTTCTTTGTGTTGCATGACAGTTTCTTGGACCGTTTTCCCACAAATCTCCCGTTTTGAGTACTGTTCCGTTTTGGGTACAGTGACGTTAACGTGATTAATCAACACAGATAAAAATCAATTAAACGTTCTCAATTACCTATGCTAATTTCCATTTACATACTCCTCACTCCAACTACTCACCTACTTCCAGTAGCATCCTCCTTCCAGCTACATAAATTCTTTAAAAACGAGATAATATTAACAAACAAAACTGGACATACTTGAAAATTTAATCGGATGTGTAGGGAGATCACACTGGAGTTATGATAACATTTCTTTCAAATAAATAATTATTAACACAATTTATTATGGATAAATAACGGACACGATGTGTAACAAAGTAAATATCCGTAACCATAGTTACATAGCGATTACACGCTTAATTAGCTAACGTCTTTTTCTTCATAGTTTAGATTTACAAAACAAAAAACAAATAAAACACACGCATACTATTATTTTAGTAGCATAAAAGTTCATAGTAATATAAAAAGACTAAGATAAAAGATATAAGCGGAGGTTGGTAAATGACCTTTGTCAAACCACACATTTCGAAGGTACTGGACCTTTTTATTTCGCAATGCATCTACAGACAGTCTGACTGATTACCGATAAATGGGAATTCCACATGTGTTATCTGACAAAAGATTAGTTTAATGTGACGAAGATAACAGTCAAGGTCTATATATATTTAACTTTCGTATCTCCAGACCTCGTGCCATTGTCGGAACAGAGCCTTACTAGACCATGCTGTTTTTCTTCGCCGTTTTGTTCGTGCCTGCAGCGTTGGCGGCAAAATGTTGTGGCCCTACCAAGTTCTCCGGCGTAATGCATATGGTTGGTGCCACTATACGACCAGATGGAACCCCTAATCTATTCGATGTAAGTTGTCAAAGTGCAAGTCTTTTAAGGGATTTTAATTCAAATTAAAACTTTTTTTTATTATTTATTAATTTAATTAATCAATTTATTATTATTATCTTTTTATGCTAAAAAAGTATCCTTATTGAAGGCTTTCATATTGTATTCTATTTTATTTTTCCGTTCCAGTGGGTATTTTTTCGGCGGTGTCTCGCCGGGCATCCGTCGTCATACAACCTTAGGTGTTACGAAGACACAAACACTGAAAACATAACCTTTATGTTAACATTAAAATCCATAGCTTAATTCAAACGTTAATAGACATACCTTAGTGTAAACATTAATAGACATACCTTAGTGTAAACATTTATAGACATACCTTAGTGTAAACATTAATAGAAATACCTTAGTGTAAACATAATAGACATACCTTTATGTCTCCCTTCTTCGGCTTAGTAAACTCTGATTGAGTCCTTCTAGGACATATATCGGTTATGCTAAGAGCCAAAGTTTGGAAATCAAAATAGGTCTAAACCACTGTTGAAACAAAAGGAGGAAGTGAGTAAAACCCCATTATATTTAATTGATGCATATCAAACATTTAGAGGAGAACTGGTTAATTTCCAATTGATAAGTAAAGTGTGTATATTATGAACCATGTCACTACTCAAAAGAGATAACTGTGGCCATCAAGCTTACGGCACACTTCGGGATCTAAAAAGCTAACCATCGGAGTCTAACATCTTTTATCTTGAAAGATGAACGCTACACGCAAGCAAGTGATTACACCTTTTAAACTAAGTAATAGATGCACTATGCATCAAAACGAATCATACTGCACCATACAGCCGTCTCGTCCTTCTTGGACTCATTGGTAATGCTAGGGGCCAAAAGGTTGGATTTCCCAATAGGTCTAATCTACTGCTGAAACAGAAGGGGAGGTGCATAAAAACTCCTAATTTACGAATTTCAAAAAATAAGAATACTGGTTAAATTCGAATTAATAAGTAAATTAGGATATGTTATATCATATAACAGTTACAAAATAGGATCAGACATGTTATAGATAGGCGAAGCTACGTACGGAGTAAGCCAGTGATCTATTGCTATCACCTTTTGCCGTTATCATGCACAGTCCGTCACCCACATTTTTGACTTCTTCTTAAAAAGTTGTTGGGCTGATTTCAGTTTGATTACGCGGGAAGCTTCCATGTCCAAAGAGAAGCAAAACATGTGGTAACATGGTTTCCACACCAAGGGGCCCTTGGGAAAGGGCCAAAAGGATAAATGTTGGCAAAATTTCAGCAATATTTTTTTCTTTATGCCAGGAAATCCTAAAATTCAAATTAGTTTATTGATGGGACGATCCTAAGGTGTTCTTTCAAAATTTTGAATTTCATTTTATCAGGGTCATCCATTTTCCCTGTTGAGGAGGTGAAGCTTATTTCAGGAAATAACACTTTTGGGTATATTTTGTCAGTATCAGTAGGAATTCTCAGGGGATGTCAGAAAATAGAATCAAAATCAAGACCCTGGTCCATCCAAAGGGCCTTTGTGGTAGGGCACAAAGGGTTCAAGTAGGCTTCATACAATATTATTCTTCAGACCCAGATGTGCTTTATGTGAAAGATACAAAAGTTCTGTTTTAAAAATTTGAACTCCATACCCCGGGTCATCCATTCCTACTGGGGTTGGGTTTAGGTTTACTATAGTTTATATGTAGAAATGACACTTAATGGTAAGGTATGCTTATTTGCGTTAGGAAATTATTCAAAGTTGGTTGCAATTATCATCACAGAGTGTTAGTGCAATTGAATAAAAAAAATGACCATTACAAATAGTTCGAACAAACCTTGGCATTTCTTTCTGAAATAAATCATTCTGTACTGATCAACATTAATAGCAAAAGTTTTGGAGAAAAGAGAAATTATATAAACTTTGTCTGTTTTCTGACGGTTGGGCACTCTCCATCTTTTTATCAGCGAATCGACAGTTGCCATAGGGTATCAAATGTATTATCTTGTTTAATATAGATTAGTGTTTCCATATCACGTCAGAATATAAAGGATAATGTTACAACTCAGTTGATCGTTAGGGCCACAGTTTTGTTTAGTTTGATCACGTTTGAGATGAACAGTCAAACGTACAGGAAACATTTTATACTATTGGGAAGTATGATCTGAAACTGAATTATTACTTTAACAAGAAGGACCTAAGACCTGTAGGATGCAGTGTTATCCTTTATCGATAAACAAATATAGATGTGCTATCACCTGTGTATGTTACATTCATCATTTCAAGATACAGGGGACTTTTTAGTCCCCGAGGTGTGCCGTAACCTTGATGGCCACAATAATTTCTTTGGAGTAGCGGCATGGTTCATAATATACACAATTTACTAATAAGTTGATTTGAAATTAACCAGTTCTCCTCTTAATTTTGAAATTTATAAATTGAATATAAAGGGGATTAACGCACTTCCTCCTTTTGTTTCAAAAGTAGTTTAGACTGATTTGGATTCCCAACGTTTGGCCCTTGGCATCACCGATGAGTCTTAGCAGGACGAAACAGCTGTATGATACATTATTATTTTTTGTTTGTTTTCATACTGCATCGATTAACAAATTGAAAAGGTGCTATCACTATATAAAAAGTACATAATTAATGGCATACCTGTTGTACATTTCAGTATGATCTGAAAGTGTCCTATGACTACGACCTGAAGATGGCCAGAACGGATACGATGATTGCTGGTCGGAATCAGATGTCACTTATCGATTACAACAATGTAAGCCAGCCATTTTATTGTCATCTCCTCAGACTGAAACGACTAAGCTCGGTTGACTGATAAATACGTTCACAATAGTTTTGGATATAAAAAGCATGTGCATTTCCAAATAAAGTCATTCAGTAGCTGATAATATGCTCATTTAACACAGAAATTACTGCACATCACGAGGTCCTTCGAAAACCCATTACAAAACCTCCACGATAACCTCAAACGTTTTATGTCGGTGTAGTATTCTTGAATTCTCAATAAGGAATTAACTGAAAACGACGTTAATGATTAATAAGATAAATTTGCTAAAACCAAAGACAAGACACGATGGGTATGTTCTTTTACTAAAAAAAACCGGAGAGCACCGAACAAATTCAGTTCCTAAATTGGACGAAACGTTTTGAACAAGAACTAACAAACAAACAAAAAGAATGGGAAATGTTTACAAAACAACAAATGATCATCAAATGCTTACCATACGACTGTTTACCAGTCACGTGATAAATTGATGTTTTCTGCCCTATGACTGGTGACTGATCACGTGATAAATAAGTCGACTACTGACTGGTCACGTGCGATCTACATTATGTAATCGAACACACGTAATCTTTTAAACATATGATGAATCAGACGAAAAGTGCAAGGTGTTCGTCTGCTAGGCATAAATGACGGGAAGATTTGAAGAAATTAACAACCAAGCGTTGTTGCGGTTAATTAAATGCAGTGACTTAGTAAGCACTAACACATTATATGAATAAGGAGAGGGGTGTAATTGGGTTTTTTTAATCGGTCATATTGGTCAAGTAACGAAACAGGACGAGGGAAACGTTTCCTCTGGGTGGAATTCTTGTTTTAGACAATTTTGGGGTATATTTGTAATAGCTATCTTGCAAATGTAATGTACAGTGACTCTAATATATTGATCATTAGCTCTCTCTCTCTCTCTCTCTCTCTCTCTCTCTCTCTCNCTCTATATAAATATATACGGACGATTAAATCAGGTTACAGTAGGATTTGCTGAAATGTTCCATTTATAACAGATGAACTTATGAATGCTTTTTTTCTTCTACAGAATGTCACGTATAGCGTTTACGATGGTTTTTGCACAAAGAACTCCTCATTTGTTGAGGCTCAGAGCCCTTGTGTACCAGGCAAGCTTGTCCTTCTCCTTACTCTAGGGTTGTCCTGTATAAGTATCCTGACTTTCTTCACTAATCCGACCGTAAATTTTAGTTGAAATATGCACATGAATACACGCATTGATAACGTTTATGTAGTACTGCATATTGCTGATTAAAATAATATATGTATGTCACTCTAATCATAACGGATTTACGCTAAAAGTGAGTAGGGGAGATTATATACAAAGTCTATCAGATGTATGTGAACACGAGGGTGCCAATTCCCTGCAACTAGATCCAATATCACATACATTAACGGGTATACTGATTAGATATATTCTGCATAAAATACATGCCAATCTAGATAGCATCAGCTCTGCTGATTTTTCTGTTTATTCGGAAAGCACTTACATGCAAAAGAAATCTGGTTTTGTAGATGAAGCTCGGTTTGTTGGAAGTCAAGTTATGGGGAGTGCTAATGCTAGCCTCGCTGTGGACACATGGAGATTGACGACAAGCGACTTGGTCATGAAAATCACAGTAACGAAAGACACCTGCACGATCGTACAGGAGTCTATGTACGGTAATATCAACGGTGGTACGTATATATAGGGATTGTGGTAATATCAACGGTGGTACGTATATATAGAGATTTACTGTAATATCAACGGTGATAAGTATATATAGGGATTTACGGTGATATCAACGGTGGTACGTATATATAGGGATTTATGGTAATATCAACGGTGGTAAGTATATATAGGGATTTATAGTAATATCAACGGTGGTACGTTTATATAGGGATTATGGTAATATCAACGGTGGTACGTATGTATAGGGATTTACGGTAATGTCAACGGTGATAAGTATATATAGGGATTTAAGGTGATATCAACGGTGGTACGTATATATATAGGGGTTTATGGTAATATCAACGGAGGTACGTATGTATAGGGATTTACGGTAATGTCAACGTTGGTACGTATATATAGGGATTTACAGTAATATCAACGGTGGTACGTATATATAGGGATTTATGGTAATATCACCGGTGGTATGTATATATAGGGATTATGGTAATATCAACGGTGGTACGTATATATATAGGGGTTTATGGTAATATCAACGGTGGTACGTATGTATAGGGATTTACGGTAATGTCAACGGTGGTACGTATAGATAGGGGTTTACGGTAATGTCAACGGTGGTACGTATAGATAGCGATTGACGGTAATGTCAACGGTGGTACGTATATATATAGGGGTTTATGGTAATATCAACGGTGGTACGTATGTATAGGGATTTACGGTAATGTCAACGGTGGTACGTATAGATAGGGGTTTACGTAAATGTCAACGGTGGTACGTATAGATAGCGATTGACGGTAATGTCAACGGTGGTACGTATATATATGGATTTACGGTAATATCAACGGTGGTACGTATAAATAGCGATTTACGGTAATGTCAACGGTGGTACGTATAGATAGGGATTAAATCTGATTTTTCCTGAAGTTCATGCCAGTATGGATGGGAAATTTAATAACACACAACGTGAGCGGCGGTAGCAATGCTTATATTAACAGATGTTTTAGGGTCACAGAGCTTATATCAGAGATCAGATTATATATGGAATTATATAAATATTTCCTTGTGTATTTTACTATCGATATCTATTAACGTTTCGGGGTATTTCCGTCATATTGTTAGAATATTTGGAACTAGTCATTTCGTAATTCAAATTAACGTTCACAGAAAATTCCCGAATAGTTTCCTATTGACTTTTGTTGTAAAGCGAAATATTAACAACAAGAAAACATGACTTTATTCCTTCAGAAATGGTCATTTTGCCGTTTGGTAAAACAGTTTTTGTGATATGTATTATCAACTAAATTAAACCAGACAGAAAAGTTAATAAGCATTTCTTTTGTTTTTTTCGACGTAATATGAAGGACTGAAATGTATCGTATCATTTGTTTGATATGGTGTGCAACACAAGTCTGGCTATCTGTTTAAAAACAAATTTATTTCTATAAAACAAAATATTATAGCGGACGCCGGGATTGGATCCTTTATTCTTTACAGAGCATTACAATATCAATGCTATTGTTTCAATTCTAGAGCAGGGTGAATCGACGTACATTGTCTCTGACCTCACAGAAGGAGCACTTGCAAATGGAGTCTTCAATGTCCCACCTGAATGCAGATATCAGGTTCGTATGTTTGAACGATATAAACGCGGGTATCACAGATAGTAATGAAAGATGTCTGAAACATCCATAAATGTCTGACTTGAAAACATACGAGTAGTTTTGTCAATGTTGTACACTTGGTATGCAGCTGAAGATGTAATACATAGCAAAACGTAACGTCTTCTTTTGTCAGTTAACCCACATGACATCATCTATTATATTCTTCATACATTTTCTTTGATAAAAGCATTCGATATGTTTCTTACTGTCGTTTATGGTACAGAAACGAAGCATTTTAATCCAATTCTGTACCGCGGTACACTATTTTATGGTACAGAAACAAAGCATTCATACTTTGATTTTGTACCGTGGTACACTATTTTATGATACAGAAACAAAGCATTCATACTTTGATTTTGTACAGCGGTACACTATTTTATGGTACAGAAACAAAGCATTCATACTTTGATTTTGTACAGCGGTACACTATTTTATGGTACAGAAACAAAGCATTCATACTTTGATTTTGTCCCGTGGTACACTATTTTATGATACAGAAACAAAGCATTCATACTTTGATTTTGTACTGCGGTACACTTTTTTATGGTACAGAAACAAAGCATTCATACTTTGATTTTGTCCCGTGGTACACTATTTTATGATACAGAAACAAAGCATTCATACTTTGATTTTGTACTGCGGTACACTATTTTATGGTACAGAAACAAAGCATTTATACTTTGATTTTGTACCGCGGTACACTATTTTATGGTACAAAAACAAAGCATTCATACTTTGATTTTGTACTGCGGTACACTATTCTATGGTACAGAAACAAATCATTTATACTTTGATTTTGTGTCGCGGTACACTATTTTATGGTACATAAACAAAGCATTCATACTTTGATTTTGTGCCGCGGTACACTATTTTATGGTACATAAACAAAGCATTCATACTTCGATTTTGTACTGCGGCACACAATTTTATGGGACAGAAACAAAGAATTCATTCTTCGATTTTGTACTTCGGTACACTATTTTATGGTTCAGAAACAAAGCATTCATACTGTGATTTTGTACCGCGGTACTCTATTTTATGGTACAGAAACAAGGCATTTATACTTTGATTTTGTACCGCGGTACACTATTTTATTGTACAGAAACAACGCATTCATACTTTGATTTTGGACCGCGGTACACTATTTTATGGTACAGAAACAAAGCATTCATACTTCGATTTTGTACTGCGGTACACAATTTTATGGGACAGAAACAAAGCATTCATATTTCGATTCCGTGCCTCTTCACATTTTCGTGATGTTTACACCTCGTTTTCGCCCTGTGTATCACACAAAAGATTATCATGGTACAGAAACGAAATGGAAATGGTTCATTTGTGTACCGCATGAAAGTGTATTGTGGAACAAACTCGAAGTTGTTCGTTTGTTTAGCACGTTTGCCATGGTACAAAGATTGAGTTTAAATGCTTTAAATGTGCATGCCTGTATCCAGCCACTGTATATTTTGTATTAGTTACGTGCATTTCGTCAACGTTGATAATATATTTATATATATACAATTCTTCTGTATATATATATATATATGTATGTACATGTAACTGTTCTGTTAGCTCCGAAAATTTGACAACCTAAACTTGTCCACAGTTGGAATTACTTCTTTGCCCCATATATATATATATGTATATGTATATAATTACATCTTTGACCCATATATAATTACATTTGTATATCGTTCGATTCACTCATATTTCTGATTAAGCAAAATTGAAAAATATTTCAATTTGAAAGTTCAATAATTGTTTTACTGACAGAAATGAGATTTTATGTACTTGTGTTTCTCGATATATCTTCTATTTGTGAAATTGTACCTACAGTCAGGAATTACTATCTAAATGTGGTTGATGTAATGATGTATATCCCTAAGTGGTTTATTTTGTACTTTCAGACTGCTCCTTTGGTCGGATGAGTCATGACTGGATATTAAGCTGTATGACATGTACTTAATATGTTTTTTAAAATAAAAAGATTTAAAATAGAAGTTATGTATTGAATGTATAAAGATTTGAGAAAACTCATATTGTCAAAGTTATATCGCTTAAAATCCATAGTTGATATACTTCTTCCTTGTCGTCTCTCTGTGGAGGGGACATTGCAGAAACCAAGAACAAACCTGCAGCATACCACTGTGTATCGTAAAGGGTGACTTATGTGACATAACTATCACTTTTATTAAGATAAGAACGCTTTCCTGAGTAGCATATCTAGTGTCATGGCTTAAATTATCACAACATTACTACAAGCACCTTATAATTGTATTATAAAACCTTATTTATCATAGAACAAATGTTTTTAACTGCATTTGCTTTTGTAGATCATAATGTTCTAATAAAATATGAAACTCACGGAAATGTCAACCCACAGCTAGATTTGATTTGAGTAATACGTTGACCAAAGAGAACAATCCATTGACGCTGATAACATCACATCCACACACCAAACATAATGCAATAGGTGTTCTACAGAGATCCACCATGGTTCCCCTTTGTTTTGTTGGTGTCTTTCGTTATATACAGAGCAAACGAGGGTTGAATTGTATGCAGGACTACATAACTACAATCGATCTCAACAGGAAGTCTCTAAAATACATTAAACATAAACTGGAATTAGATCTAAATCACATAACGGTATAATAAACAGTATGAAATTTAACCATGACCAAAAAACAACTTGTATGCTCATTGGCGAAACCTGTATAATGAAGGGCGTGCGTAATTTCGAACTACAAATTAATGTTCAATCTTTGAAGGCGTTATATACCCATAAAGGAGCAAGGGTTCATGTAAAAAAGCACCGTTACCTGGACGACAGATCATGCAGGTTTTTTATTCTCCATTATACACAAGCTCTAGTATTATTGATATTATGAATGGTACAGTTACATTTCTTGTCTTCGACAAATGCTAACTAAAGCATGTAGATAAAGATGTAGATCCTGAGTAGCTTGGTATAACTGAACCTAAAATAGTTACTTATTTTTAAATATAACGTCTTCATGAAGTTGCGCCTATCCAAACTTGAAAGTTAAGGTGATAAAGTAGCAAGTTGACAAAAGTGGATGCTTATCTCAAATGTCCACATCCTTCCCAAATCTGTCGATGATAGTGGAAGAATGGGTTTGGTTCTCCATAGGTTTCAGAAATTGTGGTGTGGAGTATTGCTTTTTATTAAAAAAAAACCAACAACCTGGTAATGTAAAGAAAAAGGACAATCTGTTTTGTTCGTACCGGTATAGGGATGTAATGTCCGGTTTCCTATTTACCGAGGATGACGACACTTGTTTACAAACAACTGTAATGACGTCAACACAAGCAATTTGGTTTACATAGATAACAGTTGCAAGCTTGTTACTCGTCATTTCGTTTTATGACTAACAATTTATCTCCACCTCCGGTCTCTGTAAAAAGTTTGCCTTCCAGGAACGGTGCAATTATATCCTTTTCGTCCATTCTATAACAGTTCACTATAGAACCCTGACCCGGATATAGGTACGTCTTCGTCAATCTACCTTCACTGTCCCAACTGACAAGAAACGCTAAAAATAAAACCGCTTCATGACCACGCAACACATTCAATTTTATTCAATGTAAAATGCACACGCGCTTAAATAATCGTCGAAATGAGCGGAAGGCTGATTTCTGCCACACATGGTCGCATATATATGATATGTACAGTAAAATGTACATGTCAAAGTAATTAAACGTTTTCACTTATTACTTGAAATTATTGTGCGGGCAATAGTTTGAAATATTTTCTCAGAAAACAGAAGTAGTTATTGACGAAATTGATGGTCATTTGCAAGTTCTATTTGCTTAGTGAAGGAGAGTGAAAGTTTCGGCTTAAGGCTAATGTGTTTTTGATTGGCCCAAACACTTCGGTGACGTTTTTGTATATAAAATAGATGTATAATATTACACATAACGTCAAACAAGGCACGGTCAAGTCAAGAAGTCTATATACATAATTGATTTCCGTTTGTGATTAAGAACTTTCTGATAGGAAGTTAGTTTATGAATCCAAAACAAACGATATCCTTTCATGTTCCGAATGATTTTTGTAACAAAGGTTACAGTTACAGTTTAGAATATTAAACAACTATGCATTAAACACCATATCTTAAGATAAACAATGAGTGATGAAGTGCATAGCATCAAATGAGGTAAGTTCTGCTACAGTGCACAAGACAGGTTATGACAGACCAAAGACATGAGAACAATAAAGCAAACGTGACATTACTAGACATCGTAGGAATTTAGATTATCACTCGACAAAAAAATTATACAGCATTTAATATAGCGCCCAATTACCAAACATAAGCCACTCTAAAGAGCTTTACAGTACATAGATATTCAATTAATACAATTAGAATATACATTAATACAATTTTGAGGATTTTGCAGGAACTACCTTATCAGGCGCTAACTACTAGTTCTATGCCACCTGGTTAATATCTCTCTATGTGTGAATGCCTGCGTGTAAGCTGGAGATGTGATGTGTTCTGTTTGTAGTCAGTGGGACCATGCTGGCATATCTTATAGTGCCACCTCACTTGAATGCCTAAGCACAGATACCGTAACATCCACCCCAGACCAATTTATACTCCTGGGTTGTTGGAGTTGTAGTGTGGGCAGGAGAAAAACCCTTTCTCTGAATATCCATGCTTACGACGACTTCGGGGATCGCACCCCGGTCGCTTGCGAGGAAGGCCGGAATGCTGTACTAACCACTAGACCAATCAGCCCCAAGAAAAAGGATCCAAGTTGAGAAAAAGCAAGCTGTTTATCTCTGAGGATATGTAAGTTTGACCGAGAAAAACACAAATGTATTTTGTCTAGGAATAGGACAGTGTTTTCATCACTTAGTGGAAGAGGCGAAGTTTATCTTCTGTGTGAGTTTGAAGCATGATAAAGGGACAGGTCTATGATTTCTGGATTGACGGAGTCGACATTTTGAAATTATTAGTAATCGTTGCGCAGATTAAAAGTTAATCAGATAAAAAAAAATCAAATTAAGAATGCTGGTGATGGGAAACTATTTTCGCAACCGGAGAGAGAGAAAAAGAGTTGTTTTCTAAGATATTTTGATTAATCAGACAAGTTTTTTCTTATGTTAAAACAGACTCTGCTTTGACCAATGTTGCAATGGTCATATGTAATTATCAATTTTCATTACAAATGTTGAATAGTGTTTTAGATAGGCAATCTAAGCTAAATGTGACAAAGGTGATATTTTAATCTTTGGTTTGTTACGTGCTTTCTAGATAGTTGAATTCGAATAACGGGTTTGTTGACACTTTGGTATCGTTTGTTTGTTTATGTTGAAATTTAGTACTTCTCGGATGCTTTTTTTGTATGTGTTTATGTTCTTCATTGACGATAAATAAGAGATAGAATCAGCCAGAAAAGTTTTCTCGGAACAGAATTCATTTTTTCAAACAACAATATTCTAAAAATGATATATACCTTCTTCCCTTAGAAAAACAGTGCTCTATTTTTTGTGATGTAACAAGCAATTTCATTGGTTGAATAAATCATTAAATAACCGTAAAAACTTAATATTCTCTGCGAACCAGTTCACTAAATGTACGTGTTCCTTTGTTCACAAACAAGCATATCAACAACATCTTTACGGTGTTCTGCACTTTGACATAGCTCAGCAACGACGACATAGCTTTACAAGATTAATTGTGTACCGGTATGGGACGTTCCAGCACCACCTAATAGTAATGAATGTACAGATCTGCCTCATCAACACCCAGTATCCGACAACCCCCTTAAACAAATACTTTCCTTCCATGGCCGAGGCTGGCCTTGATGTAACTACACTGTGTTGTGAAGGTGACGGTTAAAGAGGAGTAACTACAACAAAATGACTCGGATTTGTTAAAGATGTGCTAAAAGA